TCAGCATTATCCATTTCTTATGCCACCAGTTAAACCAGTGAGTTAGATAACTTTATACATATTTATAATATTAATTCTAGAAACAAACCTAATTTGCATGTTGTATATGATTTTAGCTTTAAGTTACATTGAGTCCTTTAATTTTTAGGTCACTGTGATCTTATTGGTGGTTTGCCTTAATGTAATCTGGTATACAATGGCTGCTGACAATCCAGGATGATAGTATTTTTTAGACCTATTCGCTGTAAAGCCTCAGGGTTCCTGAGAATGTTGCAATATGTAGAATAGCCAAAGGAGGTACAGTGCTGACACAACTTCAGACTCCTGTCTCTATTAATTCTTTTTTCTTTTTTCTTTTAAAGCAAGAAATGCTTTTTCCTCCAAAAACCAGTACAGTATTATATAAAGTAAAAAAGTAAAAATCCTATTTATATTATTTTTATGTATATAAAATTTACTAAGTCTCAGGTACCTTATTTATATTATATATGGGGATTCTACCCTGTAAAAGTCTTAATCATATTTTTCACATTTAGTGAGAACATAAGAATAATATTTAATAAACAGAATGATTTTAAGTAAGTTGTTATAGAAGTCTTATAGTTTTTTGGGGTTTTTTCTTTTTCATTTTTTATTATTGTAAAGATAAGCTTAACATTTCTTTTGGAAAGTATTATAAATTTAAGAAAAAATTAGTCTTATTAAATATCACAGATGATCATTTTTACTTTAGGTTCCTCACAGAAAAACACAATCAGGTTGCTTTGATCTGGATTCTTCATTACTGCATCTGAAAAGCTTATCATCTAGAAGGTATTTAATCTCAAAGTTTATTTGTGTATATGAAACAGAATTTTACAAAATCCCTGTCTTTTACAATAAATAACATTGACTCTAAAAATCAAAATTGTGGCTTGGTGCCCGTTACTCAGTGGTTAGGACACCAGCCACATACAACAAGGCAAGCAGGTTCAAACCCAGCCAGGGCCTGATAAACAACGATGACAACTACAGCAACAACAAAAAAATAACCGGGTATTGTGGCAGGCACCTGTAGTCCCAGCTACTTGAGAGGCTGAGGGAAGAGAATTGCTTAAGCCCAAGAGTTGGAGGTTGCTGTGAGCTGTTACGCTATGGCACTCACAGCATGGTAAGACTCTGTCTCAAAATAAATAGATAAAATAAAGACAAAAATTGTAGCAGGAATCTTATTTTCAATATGATCTCATGCACACACATAGCTCTAAAGGGTGAGTGAAGAAGACATTATGGCAGTGAGTAGCAACTTTCATCATAATAAAGAGCCACATTGTTTTAACATTTAAGTGGATTTGAATATTTCTCTTCATTAGCCTCTACCTTTTTTTTTTTTTGAGACAGAGCCTCAAGCTATCCCCCTGGGTAGAGTGATGTGGCATCACAGCTCACAGCAACCTCCAATTCCTGGGCTCAAGTGAGTCTCCTGCCTCAGTGTCCCAAGCAGCTGGGACCACAGGTGCCTGCCACAGTGCCTGGCTATTTGTTTTTTATTTGGTTGCTGCCGTCATTGTTGTTTGGTGGGCCTGGGCTGGATTCGAACCCACCACCTTAGGTGTATGTGGCTGGCGCCTTAGCCACTTGAGCCACAGGCACTGAGCCAGCCTCTACCTTTTACTCCTTTTCCCCCAACACCTTCTTCCCAAAAAGCTAGGCAATTTTGCCTTTATGTTTTCTTTCTCTCTCTCTCTCTCCCTCCCGCCCTCTCTTGCTCTCTCTTTATTTTTGAGACAGATTGTTCCTCTCTCACCCAGGCTGGTGTGCAGTGGCATCAATACAGGTTACTGCAACCTCACCAGTTCTCCCACTTCACTCTTCCAGAATTATAGGTTTACAGGCATGAGCCACCAAGCCCAGCTCTATATTCTCATTTTTAGCTTAAAATTAAGATTGATACAGAAGTTTGAATTATTATGTATTTCCACTAGATGCCACTATGTGATATGTTATTAATTTTGCTTTTGTGATATGTTACAAATTCTACTTTGAAACTTCCTAGAGTGATATACTTGTATATACACTTTACCAAAGATTATAACAAGGATTATAAAATCAGAATTTTTATAAGTTTTATATGTTAAAATTTGATGACATTAATTATATTATGGCATTTCAGTAAAATTGCTTGAATTTTCCTAACTTAATTTTATGTAAACATAAATAAGAAAATATTGTTAATGTGTTCCTTTGCTGATTTGTTTTTTTAATAGTCCTCGACCATGTTTAACCATTGAAGATGATCCAGATATTCATGAAAAACCGTTTTTGAGTTCTAGTGCTCCACCCATAACAAGTCTTAGTCTTCTAGGAAATTTTGAGGTAATGTATTTTAAAACTTTTAAGAATTGAAATTTCTTAACTTAGGTTTGGGGTGTCATTTATGTCTTTAACTTTGATTGTGAAGGGAAATTAGTTGACTGTCCTTTTTGAAAGCCTTGAAAATTACCTTTTTATTTTATGTTATTTTCATGAGAAAGCAATTTGGGAGAATTATTAGCAGTGACATCCTAGAATTTGGTAGCCAGTAGAAGAGAATGAAGGACTTTGGTGAAATGAGTTTGGATCAGGGCATGTTACTTTAGCTGAGAGGATAGATTTGTCCACATCTTCTTGTTAAAACTGGGTCTGGGCTCGGTGCCTGTGGCTCAAGCAGCTAAGGTGCCAGCCACATACACCT